TGGATTCCTGGGCATACAGGTATTAGAGGAAACGAACTTGCAGATGACCGTGCAAAAAAGAATGGAAAGGAACCACTACTTCCATTCGATCACTGTACGTTGAAAGACTTTCGCAACATGGTAAAAAAAAGTTGTTCAGAAGTCAGCATTGAGAGATTGGTAAAATTTTCAACACCATTACAAGGAACATAATCTCTCTGGTACCAAGCCAAACTACCCAACTGATTGCTCTTGCGAAGATATAAAAACGTTTGTTCGCCTGAGGATAGGCCAAACCTTCAAAACTCACAGTCATCTTTTAAACAAAATATATAAAATATTGTATTCAGCCAAATACATCAGTAAATCACATCCTAAATGAATGCAACGCTTTAAATACATCTAGGACAACTACTTTTGGTAAAACGAAGCCATCAAATCTTTTAAAGACACCAAATACTGACAACATCAGGGCAATCAACAATTTCCTAAAAAAAATGTAAAATATCAAACTTAATTTAATTGTAATTAAACCAATGATAGATACTTATAGACACATATAATACTGTAATAGAAGAGCCGAAGGCCTCTGTAGCCAGCACTTTAACTTAGTGAATTAATTATTTATAATTAGCTCTTTTGTAAATAAATAAATAAACAAAAAAATATGATTACATCGTCGATATCAACATAACATGATTTATATTTTTTATTTGGCCAAGTTGTGCCAAAACTTTACTTATATAAGGGATTGGGTAACGATCGGCTATTGTGATTGAGTAAAGCTTTCTATTACTAGCCTTAATTTTTTCCGTGGATGCATCCTTACTTTTTTTTGCAACTATCCAAATGGGGGAATTATATGGGGAATGGGGAGGCCTTCCCAGTAATATTTCTATTTGCTTTTCTCCTTCTTTAGAGACATGAGGTATCGGAGTTTGTTTTTATATTGGCGATGACCTTTGTACAAGTAAGTTTTTCATTAAGGTCGGAGAAAAGGTCGAAATGTTTGTTTATTATTTATTTTCTTGTTTTTTTTTTTTTGAGAGAAAGAAGGAAATAAGAATTTATATTTGGTACGCTAAACAGCGTGCTGTATGTATGATGAGTGATTTCTAGTCTTCCACCTACTGAATTGGCGAAAAAGTTCTTGTAAGTTTGGAGTTTCTGTTTAGCCATATGTGCCTGTATGTAGTTTTTGTAGAAGCCTGTGCTAACATTTTAATCATGTTATCACTCTCCGTTCTGCAATAATAATAAGGCAACGCAGAGTTTTTCAGCCCAATAAATAAATGTCTGAGAGTTCGTGTTTGGTGAAGAGAGTAGTAAAATTTTGCGTTATGTGTTTGTGGGTATTGCTGTGATCTCATAAAGGGGTTTGTGGGGTTGAGCATGTTTGAGTGGGTCTACATATATGATTGTTGAGATGATGGCCGGTTGAAATTGATGCGGTTTGTATAATTCCTTGGTGGTAGCGGTAGTTTAAAGTTGTATTCGTTAAATCCATTTAATGGTTACCTTGGTTGGTTGCTTTTGAACTTTTTATCGTGGAAGACCATTGAATCCTCTCACGAAAGTAAATTTTTTAATAGAAATTTTGGATTGACAGTCGACCCTGAATTAGTCCACGAACTGAACTCAAATGGTTTTCTGATAAATTTTTTCTGTGTCTTTCGTAAATGGTTTGGTTTACTACCGGTATTTGTTTTGTGTCAGCCCTAATAATATTCTGTTCGGTTGTAAAGCAGGTGCGGGATCTGATTGGTCTTAGTTAGTTATCTTGGTTTGCCATTCTAAAGTTGTATTTTTCGTAATTATTTATTTACTTTTTAACATTTATTGGAAACTTTGTTTTCTTTATTTTTAATTATTTGTTTTGAAATAAAATAAATAATATATTTTTTTTTATTATATAATTGTCTTGCTTTTCTCTTATATTTAATACATTAAGTATAACTTACACTATATGAGTGTCCATCCCGCGGTGTACTGAAAAGATTCCTGGAAATACAAATAAAGAATCAATTCATATAACGGTATACAACTTTGCATGAATAATGTCCTTAAAGTATGTCACCATATAACCAAAAATAGTTCAAAATTGAACTAAAACTGTTAACCTATGTATCGAACATGTGGACCTCAGTGCCTATAGTTGGGTTTTATATACTTGAAATCCTGGTATAATCCTCTCCTGATGATAGAATGTCAGAATGTCAAAAATAGGCTAATTGGGCCAATACTTCCATATACCTAATACAAAGATTATAGACATTCAACACATTTGTTACATTAAACTACAAATGAATATCTGTATCATACTAAAATATTTATAGATAGCATGAACTTTCCTAATAAGCGCAGAGTAAAGTATTAAATATTCAACATTCAAGTAGATTAGTGTAGACGACATTGACATACTTGTAGTTTTGCGAATTAAGAGACAGCGGCTATGCTACTAGGCTCTGAAAGAATTCGACGCAGCACTGGGCGAAGCAGAGGAAGAGGAAAACCTCTACTCCTTTGGAAAGATCATATGGAGAAGGACCTATCTGCACTTAGTGCAGAAGCACCAAGTTACAAATGATAAAAAAAGGAATTCATAGTACATATATTGAAACCCATCGGAAATGAAGGATAAAAATAAATAAACCAGCAAAATTTGTTTTTTTTTTTTTGAGGTTATGTGAAAAAAGTATATATCAACAAGTAAGAAAGGGCTAATTTCGGGTGAAACCAAACACTCTTTCGAGGCGTCAATCCTGGCTTTGTGACCATTTGTTGAGCTTCACCACACTTGGAACATGATCTTTTTCTCACATTATTATTTTATCCTGTTACCATTCGCTTCAGAGAGGGTTCAATTTGATCATATGGTACCCAACCATCGAGCTTCTTTTTGTAGTCAACCTATTTTAAATGTTTCAAAACCGTTTAATGATTAATGTTAAATTCCCGATGTCATGGCAGCTTATGTGACGGTCCTGGTCAATCTTTTCCATAATTATATTGACTTTTTCAACGATGATTCGACCAGAGCGAGGTGCATCTTTCAGTTTCCAGCTGTAACCTTTTTTGAACTCCCCGATTTTTTTTTTTTTTTTTTGTTAAATGAAGCTTAAAATCTCACATTTCCAACACTATATGGTATGAAACAAAGTTATTGGTGCAACGAAATCTATTGACAAAATACAAAAAGGTCGACTACCTATTTATACATATATTATATATAGTATAATTCATATACTGAAACACACATACGGTTTGTTAGAAAATACTGCATACTATACTAGTTATATAGGGGCTAGGTAAAGCTTTCGCTAAAATTTTTTTTAGGCACAAAGATACACTATTTTGAGTAAGACATTCTCCTTCATTTTCATTGAGATAACTCATATATTTGCCGATATATCCTGTACAGTCATCCGGAAATTCGATAAACTTTATATTAGGTATATTTTTAACACATAGATACATCATTATTCGAGAAGGATTATCCCTAAATTTTAATTATATATCTCACACATTGAATGATATTTTCGCGCAAAAGTCAACTGTAGATACTAGAGTCCACAAATTCAGTACCTGGAGGCTTGAACAGCTTAGGTTGGATTTGGACAATTTTTGATTATAAAGTGGTGGTGGGGGAATTGTTACTGAAATATTCAAATGGAATTTTAAATTGTGCTATATGGAAAGTAGACGTGATTGTTATCGGATTTCTCCCCATGCACACACTCTGTAGGAATACTGGGAGAATGTCACGTACTAAATCTTGTCGAAATTCGTTCGGCCCAGTGTCGAAATATGTGATTTCACCAAAAAGTAGGCGGTGCCCCACCCATCCTCCACTTTTCACAACAGCTCTTATAAATCTCTCTCATACCACCTCAGCGGTAAAACTTAATGTCTCTTCTGGCTTAATTAGTTATAGATTTATTGCGCTTTTAGTAGTTTTGTACAGTGCCATTATATGGGAGTACGTTTTCCGATTTAATCCATTTTCACACTTAAAGGGTGCTCTATTTCAAGGTTCTCTACTTTTTTAGAGAGAAAAAAAACAAAAACTTCGAATTTAGTGTGGAATGCTTATTATCTTTCGAGAGAATATTCTTTGGCATTTATGTTTTGTAAATTATCTCTTTGGTTTTTCCGTTCAGTCCATTTTTCGATGACTCGTTCGAGAGAATTACGACTGGTATGGCAAATGACACACGTGATGTTTTGCTCCAAGACCTGAATCGAGGCGGGATTGTCCGGATATACTTCAGATTTTACATATCCCCACAGGAAAAAGTCTAACCGTGTGATATCACATTTCCTTCCGTGATGAAATGCCAAACAACATGACTCACGCGTGATCTGTCAAAAAAAGGCTAATGAAAAAAGTACCTCTACTCGAATCACACATTAGGTATTTCTTGATTTCAGGAGAGCAATGTATTCATTTTAATAAAACGAGTATGTACCAATGAAGCAATCCAAAGTGAAAACGATTCTAATTATCTTTTTTGACGACAAAGGCATCGTCCACCATAAATTTTTCCTTACGGACAAACCGTCAACGCCAAGTTTTACCTAGAATCACATTCGATTTATTGAAAACCAAGTTTGGAGAACGTGTTATCTCACGTAATGGTCCAGTCTAGTTGCTGTGGAGCTACGTAAAGTCCATGGTCTATGCCAACAAGCCAGCGACGGTTGATGAATTTCGTACGAATATCGAACGATAAATTGCGGGAGTATTGGAAGATTTATGCTTGAAAACCGACGAAAATTAGGTTCAGCGTCTTTACTTCTGCAAACGTGCCCGTGGTGGCCATGCAAGAAATCGAGTTCCATACATAATGGTACGAACGTACCAACACAGAAATAAAAAATTTCGTTGATATCCCAAACCGTTTTAGTTTTATTTAAAAAAATTTGTTGCGCTCTTATTGTAATACCCGTTACTATCAAGTTACGCGATATGAGAAGAAAAAGATAAAGTTTCAGTTTTCAAAAATTTTTTATTTTTACAGATTTCGTATCACATATCGCCTGATTTTACGAGAAAAAGAGTTACATTTTCACATTGGAGTGTATAATCCGAGCAAGGATTTATCTTTCACGTTCAATATGCTATTGCATACATATCTAAAAGTTCCTGATGTACGCCGTTGTCAAATAACCGGTTTGCATGGTTGCACATTTATTGATAAGGTAAAATATATAAAAAGTTATACACAAAAATACCTAGAAAACAATGCTAATAATATAGCCTATTAAGCTGAAATAAAATTACTTGTCCTACATTTTTTTATGTTAATAGATACAAGCAAATAAAATATATAAAATTCTTAGAACTTTAAATTATTAAACCCTGAAAGACTTGTTCCACGCGGCATATTTCACTACAAATCCGAAACTATTGACCAGTTTTTTATTTTTCTTTCATGGGTACTACTATTTAGTAGTAAAATATAGGCGCTTCTCTGCGAAAGAACAATCAACAAAATCGATAAATACAAAACCCTACTATGAGTAGTAACCCGTCTTTGTAATAACAATCTACTAAAAAAACTAAAAAATATTTTATTATGAAAACTTGGTCAGACATATACCATGTTTTTCCAATTCTAAATATAGGTTTATACATAGTCAAGTTTATTTTTCTTAAAGAAAAAACTTAGTAGCAAATTGAAAAATTACATTTTTCACATGAAATGAAAACTTGATAGAATAGATTGATTTTTTAGTTTGTCATTGAATAATGGTGGGATACACTTAAAATACCGACAAAACCGACTGACAAAAGTTAAATATGCAGCTAAATCAAAATACCGACATATCAAAACACCGACAAATCAGTACATCGAAAAATCAAAATACGGACAAACTAAAATGCCGTCACGGGGATACACTTAAAATATCAAAAAATTTAAAATGCCGACTCATCAAAGTACTAACAAAATTGAAATATGCAGCTAAATCATTTTTGTTTGTCAGTGTTTTAAATTGTTGGTGTTTTGATTTGTCGGTATTTTGACTGTCGGGAATCTAAATTTCGAGATGATTGTCGGCATTACGTTATACACCCAAATATAATACTTTGTAGATAGTAAACTTTTCTTCTCTAATTATTTATAATTGCAGACTCGTGACGGTGCTATATACCAAGAAGGACGTGAAATAGTGACCATTGGCGAATGGACGGATCGAGTTTACCAACACACTCCACAAGAACACGTCATAACGAACGTTGTATCCGGAAGAAAAATGCGATTACAAAAATACAATTTTCCTGACACAGGTAATTTTAAATATTATAGTTGGATAATGTGGCCGTTTGTTGTTTAGTGATAGTGAATCAGACAACAATGTTTTTTCGGCTTCCGTAAACTTAATTGTGTATTAACTACGACAGTGCGGAGTGCTCATGATGGTGATATTCTATCTCCTATAACATAACTTGTTTTTTTTTTTTTTTGCATTGAGTTCTATTGTTCTATCGCATCTAATATCACAGGGTAATGACTGAAAATGTTAAAGTCTTTTGCCAGATCTGACAACCCCTTTAATTATTGCCAAATAAAATGTCGAGTAATAAGTAAGTTTATTATAATGACAAAAATCTAGGAGAAGAATGAAAGAAATTAGGAAATCTACTTTTTTCGGTGAATGTATTTTGAGAAGAGTAAAAAAAAGTATAAAATTTCACGAATGTATTTTGCATAAATAAGATTTCATATTTTATGTGCTTCAATCTTTACTAATATTTTTAATGTTAAAGTACGATTGTTCGCTACGCTTTCTCGCCTGAATTGTTTGTCGAAAAAAAGTTCATTATATTTCTACAAATCAAATAAAATCGACCAGACTAACTTAATCTATGCAAATTTTGTAACCTCGAATAATTCTTTAAATCGAAAGATTTCTTTTACTTCTAATAAAAACAGCGGCACAGCTCTAATTTCCTATCAGCAACACAATGCTGTGATGATGCAAACAAAAGCATGTCAATGGAAATCCTGAAAGATCTGGGCGGCATTTGTTATTTGAAAAACAAAAAACATTGTTTTTAATTTTTTGTAAGGTCCGTATGGCCTTCTTTATTCAATAACTAAATTGCATTTTACATTTTATATTTAAGCTAAAAAGTAACTTTATTCTACCTGCCCTATATATTATAATTCTTAGGAATTATAGCTTTAGCGGCTCGTGGCGGATGTTACTTCCTGTTGACAAATTTTAGCGTCAGTTACAATTTTCAATGTTACTTATGTTAACTCCTGCCGTTGTTCGCTGCATTTCATTTGTCACAGTTATGACCTTTCTATTGTAGGTGTTTTTGTTTAGATGTTTTTATTTCTTTATGATCCGAAAAGATTTATGTTTTGGCTGTCAATCCTTATCGTGCCGTTATATTGGTTTAGTAATATAATGCCAGATTATACATTTTCTATCGAGTTTATGTTTTGATTATTTATCAAAATACATTCTGCCGGTTTGCTCTTTAGTAGACGTGGGACACAACCTGTGTTGCTTATGTCTATAATATTCTTATTACTACATATTTTTATATTTTTTATTTGTCACATTTTTTCTTAATGCCCAATATTTTATTATTCTTACACACTATTACATTTTCATATGAAATCTTATTTATGTATATTCTTATTTATTTTTATTGGTTTTATCATAATAGATTCACAAAAGTCGCTAGTCTATATTTATTATGTCTTCTTTTATTATAATAATAATACAGAACGATTACCCTCCTCCCGCCCAACCGACGCGCGGGGCGCAATCCGCGAACGAGCGGAATTAGCCGAGTCATAAAAGGCAAGAGAGTTTTAAGGGTTGCGATCTTAAGCTGCTCAGCTACAGAAACAAAAATTTCAACTGCCAAAATTAAGAATTAGATTAAAGTTTATAATTTTTAAATGTTACTTGTAAAATGGTAAAGAGTGAGTCTGTTAGATCAAATGTGCTGGAGTCAGAACTGAAATCGTGACGGAATGGTTCGTTTAATTCGAAATTTGTTCTAGAAAATTTTAAAAGYAAAGGTYTAAACTGCCTGGTAGAGGGAGCGGGAATGTTAAAATTAATATCAGACAAGAGAGATGRGCTACAGACTGACCCATTGATGAGTTTTACAAGAAATATTGTACCAAGCATTTCCCTACGACTAGCGAGTGTAGGGAGATTTATAAGTTTTAAACGGTTAGTGTAAGGGCGAAGATTTAAACTGGAATCCCAATGCAAATGATTCAAGGCAAAAAGTAAAAATTGTTTTTGAACGGACTCCATTTTCTCAGAATGAACTAGATAACAAGGGTTCCATACCATGGAAGCATACTCTAATATAGGCCTCACCAAAGATGTAAAAAGAATTTTCGTGGTAAGCGGATCTCTAAATTCTTTAGACCATCGTTTAACAAAACTTAGAGCACCTTTAGCACTAAAAACCATGGAAGATGTGTGAAGATTGAAATTGAGTTTGGGGTCCATAGTTACTTCCAAGTCAACAAAACTGCATACTTGCTCCAACCGAAAGTTTTGTATTACGTATGAAGTAGGGTCTACAGATCTACGTGAAAAGCAGATCATTGTAAATTTTTTAAGATTCAATGGCATGTCATTTCTATCACACCAAGAAACTAGGTTATTTAAGTCTGTTTGCAATTGACATCTTTTTCATCTCATTCATCTCTATTTGAGGTGAATGATTTCACAAGTTTTACATCGTCAGCATATAATAAAACGTTTGAAAACTTAATAACAGATGATATATCATTAATAAATAACAAGAACAGAATTGGACCAAGACTACCTTGGACCTTGGCTACCTTGAGGAACACCTGAAGAAACATTGATTATGTCGGAAAGAGTATCGTTAAATATGACTTGTTGAATTCTATTACTAACATAAGAAGCAACCCATTTTAGATCAAGTTTATTCAAAAGAATTGAGTGGTTTACTTTATTAAAAGCTTGATACATGTGATACAAATTCAAGCAAATTAGTAGTAAATTGTAGATTTCCCTTTACGAAAACCGTGCTGAGAACAAGAACTTAGTGGAGAGATCCGGAAGGTTATGCCGTCTGTTATAATTGCTTCAAAAAGTTTAGGTATTGCAGACAACTTTGCTATTCCCCTATAGTTTTCAATTGATGACCTAAATCCACTCTTATGCAAAAGAATTATAAAAATATATATATTTAATTTATATTTGATTTAAATAGCAAGATTATGTTGTACTACTTCATTTGTTTGTACTTCTTTCAAAATTTTGTTTGATGTTGCAGAAATATTATTAATTCTGTCGAAAATTACTTTATTAATTGTTATTGTTTATTAGGATGATGATAGTATTTATTTTCTTTACAGATTTTGTATTGTTTAATTATAGCTTCTATTTTTGCTTTAATTTTTGGGAAATTACATTAACGTTTATGTTCCTTTAATATTGTTTCGTTATCGAGTTTTATAATTCTTCTTCTTGATTTAACAACAGCGGGCCAGTCGTCTCTTCTTTTCGCTACGTGGCGCCAATTAGATATTCSAAGTGAAGCCAGGTCCTTCTCCACTTGGTCCTTCCAACGGAGTCGAGGTCTTCCTCTTCCTCTGCTTCCCCCGGTGGGTACTACGTCGAATACTTTCAGAGCTGGAGTGTTTTCCTCCATCCGGAAAACATGACTAATCCGTTGTTGACATCGTCCAAGCCTCTGCACCATATAGCAGGACGGGAATTATGAGTGACTTATAGAGTTTGGTTTTTGTTTGTCGAGAGAGGACTTTGCTTCTCAATTGCCTACTCAGTCCGAAGTAGCACCTGTTGGCAAGAGTTATCCTGCGTTGGATTTCTAGGCTGACATTGTTGGTGGTGTTTACGCTGGTTCCAAGATAGACGAAATTATCTACAACTTCATGACTGTCAACAGTGACGTGAGTGCCAAGTCGCGAGTGCAACGACTGTTTGTTTGATCACAGGAGATATTTCGTCTTGCCCTTGTTCACCGCCAGACCCATTTGTGTTGCTTCCTTGTCCAGTCTGGAGAAAGCAGAACTAACGGCGCGGGTGTTGAGGCCGATGATATCAATGTACACTCTTATAGAAGATGGTACCTTCTCTATTTAGTTCTGCAGCTAGAGAAAGCAGAACTAACGGCGCGGGTGTTGAGGCCGATGATATCAATATCATCATCATACGCCAGCAGCTATACACTCTTATAGAAGATGGTACCTTCTCTATTTAGTTCTGCAGCTCGAACTATTTTCTCCAGAAGCAGGTTGAAAAAGTCGCACGATAAGGAACCGCCTTGTCTGACACCTCGTTTGGTATCGAACGGCTCGGAAAGGTCCTTCCCGATTCTGACGGAGCTCTTGATGCTGGTCAACGTCAGCTTACACAGCCGTATAAGTTTTGCAGGGATATCAAATTCAGACATCGCGACGTAAAGGCAGCTCCTTTTCGTGCTGTCAAAAGCAGCTTTGAAATCGACAAAGAGGTGGTGAGTGTCGATTCCCCTTTCACGGGTCTTTTCCAAGATTTGGCGCATGGTGAATATCTGGTCGGTTGTTGATTTTCCATGTCTGAAGCCGCACCGTCCAATCAGTTTGTTGACGGTGGGCTTTAATCTTTCACACAATACGCTCGATAGAATCTTATATGCGATATTGAGGAGGCTTATCCCACGGTAGTTGGCGCAGATTGTGGGGTCTCCTTTTTTGAGGATTGGGAATAGCACACTTAAGTTCCAATCGTTGGGCATGCTTTTGTCCGACCATATTTTAAAAAGAAGCTGATGCATGCTCCTTATCAGTTCTTCGCCATCGGCCCCCGCCGCTTTGTTGTTCTTCAGGTGGGTAATTGCTATTCGAACTTCTTCCTGGTCGGGCAATGGAACGTCTGCTCGATCGTCGTCGATTGGGGCATCAGGTTCGCCTTCTCCTGGCGTTGTGCGTTCACTGCCATTCAGCAGGCTGGAGAAGTGTTCCCTCCATAATTTCGGTATGCTCTGGGCAGCGGTGACTAGATCACCTTTGGGGGTTCTACAAGAGTATGCTCCGATCTTGAAACGTTCTGTAAGCCGCCGCATTTTTTCGTAGAATTTTCGAGCATTACCAATGGTTTCGGTTGCGGCTGTAAGTAAAGAGTTTGAAATGCCGTCCCGTAGTTCCCTTATACCGAGTTGTTGACGAATGCTCTCAGAGAGCAGGAGTGCAAGCCGAGCAGAAAATCGTTCGGCTGTCTGTTGTGATTGCAGCTTCTCGACGTCGAACCTTCCTTGTGTTTGATGCCGTG